AAATCATCTTTAAAGTTGTTCAAATGAAGTTCTTAGCAATGCATATTACTAATCAAAAACTAAGTTTTGATATATTTACGGTAGGACATTTACTAAATATCTTCATGGAACATGATCTTTACTTAATATCCTAATGATTTTTGGCATAAAAGAAAAATGTATAATTTTGACCCATACAATGTATTGTTGGCTATTGCTACAAATATACCCCAGCGACTTAACACTGCTTTTGTGCTCCAGGGTCACATATCTGTCTAAAACGTATCTGAAATAATGCAGTGTGTCTGTGTGCAGTAATCCTGGGGAAGTCTCATTACGTTCTGTATGGTTTGGTGGCGGCGATGCAGCCTCGTATGCTGGTCACATTCGACGAGGAGCTCAGACCGCTGCCGGTGTCTGTGCGAGTGGGACAGGTGTGTGTCTGCAGTTATTTGATCAAAAATAGTGAAATATTATTACAATTTAAAACAGCTGTTTTCTATGTGAATATCTGTGACACTGTAATGTATTTCTGTGATACGCAGCTGTATTTTCAGCATCATTACTCCAGTCTTCAGTGTCACATGATCTTCAGAAATCATTCTAATATTCTGATTTGCTGCTCAAGAAACATTTCTGATTATCAAGTTGTTCAAAAATAAGTTAAAATAAGAGCAAATAATTTTAACAATTAAAATTGTCAGTAGTGCAAAATATGAATGTTGTATTTGTATGAAAAAAACTTATTTTTAAGTGTAATAAACTGTTGCTTTGTGTTGCCACAGTGTACAATGAGAAATTATTCATGAATAAGTCAAAATAATAGAGCAAATAATTTTAGTAGTTTAAATATCAATAGTACAAAATATAATATTTATACAAAATATAATATCTTTATTTTTAGTGTGACCGAATGTAGCTTTGCACTGTCACAGCATACAATAGCTATGTTTCCATCCAAAGATTAGAATTAAACTTAAGCGCAAAACTGGAATATCGCATAAAACGATTGCGAATAAAGCACCGTTTCCATCCAACGAATCCAAGAGAACAACATCGTCACTTCCTGATAAACTGGCACTAAATATCTCTAAGAAAACTAGGAGAAGCCACTGAATATAATAATTTTCATATATGATATAAATGACATAACACAATAAATGCGGTCAATGCTTTCGGAGGCTGATGCTGTTGTTTGGGAACGCAGTCGTGTAAGACGATTATACAGAAATACTTTGATGACAGACTTTGCTCAGGTATTTCAGAACGATCATAACAACATATAGATGCTGTGAAGGAGATCGGAGCGCTGCTAGTCAAGTTATCCCGTCATAGCGCAAAGTCACATGACTTTTTCAATGCGCATGGAGGAATTTATTCAGCAAATGTGATTCCATCGTAGTTTATGCGCATTTTTTCACATTTTACTCAAATGTGTGAATACGTCTTTTTTATGCGCATTTTTAGAATTTGTGCGCATCTTGGCGTTTACATCCAGCTGTTTTTTTTATGGGATATTCCAAAATGCGCATACAAATAGGTGGATGGGAAACAAAGCTATTGAGAAATCGTAAAAAAAAAAAATGCTGCAAGTAATTTTAATTAAAATATCAGTAGTGCAAATTAAAATGCATAAAATATATTTAAACTAAATTTTTCCTTTTTGTGTGTGTTACAGAGTGTAGTTTTGTGTTGCCAGTGTACAATGAGAAATTGTTTAGAAATAAGTAGAAATTTGAAAATAGTGCAAGTAATTGAAAAAGTGTCAAAATAACATGCACAAAAAACATCTTTATGCAAAATTGAATTTTTTGCTTTTTTGAATTTTATTCTTAATGTGTGACAAACTGTATCTTTGTATTGCCACAGCGTACAGACAAATTGTAAAAAAAAAGTCAAGATAATAGTACAACAAATGCACAAACTATAATATTTAAAAAAAAAAATCTTGTTTCCTTTTAAATTAAAAATGAAAAAAAAATAAAAATAATAATATCAGCAATAGCGCAAAGTCACATGACTTTTTCAATGCGCATGGAGGAATTTATTCAGCAAATGTGATTCCATCGTAGTTTATGTGCATTTTTTCACATTTTACTCAAATGTGTGCATACGTCTTTTTTATGCGCATTTTTAGAATTTGTGCGCATCTTGGCGTTTACATCCAGCTGTTTTTTTTATGGGATATTCCAAAATGCGCATACAAATAGGTGGATGGGAAACAAAGCTATTGAGAAATCGTAAAAAAAAAAAAATGCTGCAAGTAATTTTCATGGAGGAATTTATTCAGCAAATGTGATTCCATCGTAGTTTATGCGCATTTTTTCACATTTTACTCAAATGTGTGAATACGTCTTTTTTATGCGCATTTTTAGAATTTGTGCGCATCTTGGCGTTTACATCCAGCTGTTTTTTTTATGGGATATTCCAAAATGCGCATACAAATAGGTGGATGGGAAACAAAGCTATTGAGAAATCGTAAAAAAAAAAAATGCTGCAAGTAATTTTAATTAAAATATCAGTAGTGCAAATTAAAATGCATAAAATATATTTAAACTAAATTTTTCCTTTTTGTGTGTGTTACAGAGTGTAGTTTTGTGTTGCCAGTGTACAATGAGAAATTGTTTAGAAATAAGTAGAAATTTGAAAATAGTGCAAGTAATTGAAAAAGTGTCAAAATAACATGCACAAAAAACATCTTTATGCAAAATTGAATTTTTTGCTTTTTTGAATTTTATTCTTAATGTGTGACAAACTGTATCTTTGTATTGCCACAGCGTACAGACAAATTGTAAAAAAAAAGTCAAGATAATAGTACAACAAATGCACAAACTATAATATTTAAAAAAAAAAATCTTGTTTCCTTTTAAATTAAAAATGAAAAAAAAATAAAAATAATAATATCAGCAGTTTAAAATGAAAAAAAAGGTTATAAAATTGTTAATATTGCCAAATTGTAAAAAAAAAGTCAAGATAATAGTACAACAAATGCACAAACTATAATATTTAAAAAAAAAAATCTTGTTTCCTTTTAAATTAAAAATGAAAAAAAAATAAAAATAATAATATCAGCAGTTTAAAATGAAAAAAAAGGTTATAAAATTGTTAATATTGCCAAATTGTAAAAAAAAAGTCAAGATAATAGTACAACAAATGCACAAACTATAATATTTAAAAAAAAAATCTTGTTTCCTTTTAAAACTTGTTTCCTTTTAAATAAAAAAGGAAGAATGAAAATAATAATAATATCAGCAGTTTAAAATACAATGAAAAAAAGGTTATAAAATTGTAAATATTGCCAAATTGTTTAAAAAAAAGTCAAAATAATAGTACAACAAATGCACAAACTATAATATAAAAAAAAACTTGTTTCCTTTTAAATAAAAAAGGAAGAATGAAAATAATAATAATATCAGCAGTTTAAAATACAATGAGAAGAGGTTATAAAGTGTGAGCGCTGATGTGATGTTTGCAGGCTGTAGATGTGGTGGGTCAGGCCGGGAAACCCAAAGCCATCACAGGCTTCCAGACTCACACCACACCGGTGCTGCTGGCTCACGGCGAGAGAGCGGAGCTGGCCACAGAGGAGTACATCCCCGTCACAGCCATCCTGGAGGGCTTCGTCATCCTGCGCAGAAACCCCAGCTACGACGCTTAGACGGGCCTCTGCTATATTGACAGCAGCTCGTCCTCCGCTGCCGCCTCCTCTCCTCGATTGTAATTAGAGCATGAGTGTGAGTTTATCATCCTGATAAACCGTTTTGCTTCTTTTTGTTACTTGTTCTGTAAAAGGTTGAGATACATAAAAAATAAAAGAATTGTGGTCAAACCAGTGTGTTTACGCAAATGAATCTGGCTTGGTACCAAGGCAAGCAATTGTTCTCATTTTTATGACATTACTTCATCTTCACATGTTATGTTTGATAACTTAGTAGTCAGTGTGTGTTGATTAATATTCAGAAGCCAGTATTTTGCAATAGTGATATTAATAAATCTCTGGATTTATGCTTCTGGAACATTTCAGCACAATCAAACATGCACTAAAATAATGTTTTGGTTGTTATTGTGAAGGGGATTTGATTTGCTACAACACTTTTTAATAATAATGTAATATTTGAAGCAAAATAGAAATCTTTTCTAACATTTTAAGGTTTTTACTGTCAATTTAGATCAAAATAAAATATATAAAAAAATCAAAATATGAAAAATAACTCAAAGTATATCTTCTTTTTTTTTTCCTTTTGATTTTTATTTTTAGCGTGTGACAAAAGCAAGCAATTGTTCTCATTTTTATGACATTGCTTCATCTTCACATGTTATGTTTGATAACTTAGTAGTCAGTGTGTGTTGATTTAATATTCAGAAGCCAGTATTTTGCAATAGTGATATTAATAAATCTCTGGATTTATGCTTCTGGAACATTTCAGCACAATCAAACATGCACTAAAATAATGTTTTGGTTGTTATTGTGAAGGGGATTTGATTTGCTACAACACTTTTTAATAATAATGTAATATTTGAAGCAAAATATCAAAATATCTCTTTTCCTTTTGAATATTATGTTTAAAGTGTCGCAAACTGGCTTACAATGAGAAATTGTTCAAAGCAAGTCAAAATAGTTTTAGCAATTAAAATAAAATGCACAAACTACAAAATTTATACAAGATATATATTTTGTCCTTCTGAATTTTATTTTTAAGTGACAAAAACTGTAGCTTTGTATTTTCACAGAGTACAATGAGAAATTGAATTAAAATGCTAAAACCATTTTTACAGATATTGTCCTGAAGGAAGACTGATTTTCTATAACCCTTTAATAATAAAGCAGCACTGAAAGTAGCTTCACGCTCGTCAGAATGAGTAAAGGTTATTTCTAAACTGGTCACCAGGCGGCGCTGTAAGAAAAGGCCACGCCTCTGTGAGCTTCGACCAATCCCAATTTCCTACTATGGGAATACTCATAAATATTAATGACGCCATGCTGACGTGGCACTGTGGCCGAAGCTGCGTTCATGAATATTAACGAGCCTTACTTGTTTCAGCGCAGTCATGACAGTGAATTAATATTCATGAGCAAAGCTCCGCGCTCACGCCGCGGCTGCAGTCACGTGGTCGGGATTCCCTATTGTCACCGATCCCGGAAGTGCCCGAGTCGCCGGTTTCCGCCGGAAAAGGTTCCGTCTGGACCAGACGGGTCTGTCTCTTTTTCGGTCTCTTTCGGTATCGTTCAACTGATCCAGTACAGAACTGGACCGGAACCGAAGCTGTACGATAAACTCCTGTCCGGTAAGAAACAGGAACGCGAGAGAGAGAGAGAGAGAGAGAGAGAGAGAGAGAGAGAGAGAGA